AGACCCAGCATGGAATTTCTCACAGAAACAATGAGGGAAAAACAAAAACAAAAACAACAACAAGTATTATTAGTAATCCTAAAGACAATTACGGACTTATATTTTATTCCTTTTGCCAGCTTGGAAAAAAAAAAAAAACTATCCATAATCGGTAGCTTAATTTTTGTGGAAACAAAAATGTGTTTGGAATTCCCAAGAACTTACCTCCAGAAGAGTTTTTGGAGCATAAAATGCAAGCCAGTTGCCATCGAGGTGATTCCGACTCACGGTGACCCCCCCGTGGGCCAGAGTGGAACTGCACTCCACAGGGTTCTCCGTGGCTGTGATCTCTCGGAAGTAGACTGCCAGGCCTTGCTTCCGGAGTGCCTCTGGGGGGCTTTGAAACGCCAACGTTTTGATTAGCAGCCGCGTGCGTAATCATTTATGTCACCCAGGGACTCTTTCTGGAGTATAGCAAGTGTTTAAAGTGATATACTTGTAGACAAGGTGTACGTTCCTTTAGGATAACACATATCACATTTGCTTAAGCCAGCCTTAAGCATCTTCTGAAACAAAATATTGCTAATGATAACAGACACGGTGAAAGACAGAGGAAGAAGGAAAGCGGATGTTCTCAACATATCTGAGTAATTTCTAAAAGGTAAACTTAAAAGGGAAATCACTTTCTGACTAGACTAATTCAAAAACCTCTTTAGACTTTCCTATTCTATCTTTATCAGATTCTGCCCTTGTCAGGAAACAGTTCAAACTTTAAGGTAAGAAAGATTTTAAAGGTTTCTATTTTTCTTCACCATTTCAATCTTTAAACAAATTAATATTTATAATCACTGTGCAGATAGATAACCCACACACGCATTCAAACATACCCAACTGTGTCTATTTAAGGACAAAATTCTCCTTATGCTTAAAGCTACACATTGCTTTGCTTTGAGATAATCTTCATCTTTATGAGATACATTATGAAGGTTTGTCTGCCAGATTTTGGTTAGGGAGGAAAGGCAATTAGGACAGTTCTTCATATAGAACTGGACTAATCTAGTATGTTTTAAAGTATTGCAATATTCATTCAATGAGTATTAGATACACAAAGGTATAGAGGACACACAAGCCCCCTGCCCTCAATGCCCACAGGTTGAACCAGAACGCACATACATTCCACTGCACAAAATGAATAGGTCCTTGGGTGGTACAAAAGGTTTACACTCGGCTACCAGCTGAAAGGTTGGTGATCTGAATTGAACCCACCCAGCGGCACTGTGGAAGAATGGCCTGGCAATCTGCTTCCATAAAAATTCCAATCAAGAAAACTCTATGGAGCTCCATTCTAATCTGTGACACATGTGGTGCCATGAGTCAGAACTGACTTATGGCAACAGGTTTGGAGAACATCAACAGTAAACAAATGAACAAGATCATTATAGATTCTGGGAAGAGCTGTAAAGGAGAGAAAATAAACAAAAGACGGACAAGAGGCAGGGAAGCTAATTAATAATCAGCAAAGGCTGCTCAGATACATTGAAACCAAGATGGAAAAAAAAAGGACCCAGCCGTGCACACTACCTGGGGAAAAGCTTTTTAGGCAGAAGGAAGCAGAAAGGTCCTGAGAGAGAAACAGACTCAATCTATCTGCTTGCTATTGTTGCTATGTGTCGTCAAGTCGGACCCGACCCACAGCGACCCCTCCTTGGGTTTCCGAGGCAGTATCACTACGGAAGTAGATTGCCCCATCTTCCTTCCGAGGAGTGGCTGGTGGGTTTGAACCG